AAGAAAAATGGAAAGACCTGGCCGTCAAAAATATAGTGTGCAGGGCGTCTATCACACCGGGGGTAGTCATGAAGCGATCATAGAACCGGGAGGCCTCTAGGTCCGAAACACCATGCGCCACAAACAGTTCGACGCCTAGGTCACACCGAAGCGGCCCTGGCTTGAGCCTCGTCTCTTCGTCTTCATCAACTGAGTCGACAATGTCGTTTGACCGCCCAGACTGGCCTCCGATGCTCAGTCCCGACGGGTCCTTCAGGGTTGGTGGTGGGAACCACTGGGGCTGATCGGCCATGCCTCCTGTGAAATACAATCGTCAATGGGGGGCGACATTTGAAACACTCAAGGAGGAGCTTTTTGAATTGATACACAGCCGGTGATGATGCTAACAAATAATAATACAAAAAGGAGTACCTCTCATATAGCTACATTTCAGGAGACCTCCAAAATTAGAGGTCGCGAGGGGAGGAACCGCAAGTATGCGGCAGTGCGGAGACTACGTTTTGATACACTTGATATGTTGTACGTTTTTTTTGGTTTCCGTCCCTAGAAACTCAGCCGCGCCCAGCGCTCTCATCATTGCAAATCGCGTTTCTTGTTGTAAACTCCGAGCTGCCCTGGCATGTATGCCCACATATCTATTTTCCCGCCGGTCGACCCTCGGAACTAACGATTTTGACGAGTTGATGGTCGGAAGTGCAATTCTTTGGAAAAAAAAGCGCTGCTAACCAACAAAGAATGCTAAAAAATTGGGCATGACTCACGTCTTGGTCGAACTGCAGGTCCACCCACGGAGGGCGGTTGACCATTGGGTGGGTAGACGGCCGATCCGCCCGAATCACTGTTGGGCGGCCTGTCTGAGTTGCCGCCGAAAATTGCCCTTGGAGGCGGTGGCTCAACCGCACCCTCTGGCGAAGCGTAACGGTTAGAATCAGCCCCGACGAGCAAACCGTTCCCTGATGCAGCTTGCTCTCTTGCCTTTGTTACCATCGTTCTCACGCGGTTGGGGTCGTGCAGGATGCTGTGGTCGGAGCCAACCCGTTGCATCAAAATGTACGGATCTAGTTTTGATAGGGTCCACGCATCCATGCAGAGGCCAGGCCAGAATGCCTGATCTTTCAACAGTACGGCCGGAACGAGGTAGCGGTTCGAGACCGTGTCGTGAAAGTACCGCTTGCTCTGCCCCATGTACGCCTGGAAATAGGTCCCAGGCCACTTTCCGAGCACCCAGACGCACCGAGATGGTGAAATCGTGGCCAAGATTTGAAGCTCCACTTGAAAATGCTGCCTTTGAGAATCAGAGAGCTACATACGTATGTCGCACGATATCACAGGGAAGGAAGAGAAGGTGATGCGGTGTGAAAACCTCTCTCCGAGACGAACTGACCATTGGGGCGAACATTCATCTGGTTTGATGTGTGTAGCTTCTTCTGTCCGTCATATGGACGATATTCGTTTGGCGTGCATACGTGTTCAATAACCCAATAGCTGGGTTCGCTGCAAAGCAGTTCGCTGTAGGAACCGCCGTGCAGTCCCGTGAGGGGGAGGCACGTACTGGGGTTGTATTTCAAGAACCTACTGCAATTTAGTATAGAGAAATATAATGGGGGGTACCCCTGCTATCGCGGGACCCCTCCGCCAATGAAAACAAAGTACTACACAGAACTGCCCATAAATTTAGTCAGCCAGACTGTTCCCAATCTTCGGAGCTTGTCATCAATGTATTAACTCACATTGGCCATAAATATTGACGTTTTCGCGCGTCGCAATTGTCATTTCAAATCTTGTTACATGGGGCGCGTGCAGGTTTGCTTTGCGGAGAAATTCAACATCATTGGTTGGTTGGCAATTTTCGCGTTGGTTGTTTCCATTTTTCCAGAGTTTTTCGTCAACCGGGTCTCAATGCTTAACTCCGAAAAGGGCGGAATATGGCTTTTTTTTTGGCAGACTGATTTGTTTGCCGTTGACACATGAAAGTTCATGCACGAAACCAATCTCAAGGTGGTAGCTCGAACACAGCTCTCAATATTTGAAAACAATCATCGCCTAAGGCATTTGGCACGGTTTAGGGCTCGCGCAAACGTAACGCCCAAGAATGTTGAAGTAACGAACGCGAACGAAAAGTACCGGGGTACACATACCTCGGCAAATGTCTTCGTCATGAGCACCTTGCTCACTTGTTCGTTCGATTCGTACGTCCAAAGCTCCTTCTCAGCGCTTACCACGTGCGCGTTTACCTGGGCACCTCTGAGGCGTTCCGTCACTTCTCTGGCGATTTCAGCGCCAACGAGGAAAATCTCTGTGGTGTCCGGCACTCTGTCCCGACTCCTGACGTACGAAACCACGCTCTTGTACAGAACCCGGCTTCCGTACCACCTGGGCTCCTGCCCCAAAGCGTCTGGATTCACCATCAAGCGCTCCATCACGGCGTCGTCCCTGGTCCCGGCCGGCAGGAGTTTCACCCTCTTCGCGATTGCGGTACGAATGTTGGAGAGTACGTCACTGGTTTTGCTCCGATCCCGCCCAATGTTGACGCTCCCACCCTCGTTGAAGAAGGCACCCTGTTCCGGGGGAAATCGCTTCTTAGTTCGTTGAGTCGCGGCGTAGTGTTAGCCAGTACAGAACCCGAGGGGGGAGCATGTTCAGCAGTATAGTGAACAATGACAAACAAATTGCGAAATTCGTTGATGACCTTTCTTCTTTTGTCCGCGTTTTCTCCCGCAAAGGGCTACCATGCCTGACAGAAACCAGGTGAAGGGACCACCAACCTTGGAGTTGTCCACGCTCCCAACGTAGATTCCCAGCTGGAAGAACTTGCTCGGGGCGTTGGAGTCTTCCAAAAACAGAACGTAGGACATCACCGGCGATGCTCCAGGCGGAAGCAACGGTGTCCAGGTGGCCAAAGACATGGTAGGGACGTAGTGCTCTGGGTTCCAGATGCGTTCAATAGAAGTGGCTGACATCGGTATCTCGACAAACACGACCATACCACCGTAGACCTTGCAATGGTATAGAAGAGTAGCACGAAACACGCATGGAGGATTGAAGTCCTTGCAATACTGGCGGAATCGCTCTCTACATGTTCATCGAAAGCTGACAAATCTTGCTTCGCTTCAATTTGAGGAACTGCACCCTCCTAGCGACCCTCTACGTAACGAGTCCGTTGTTGTCATCACTTCGAAGATGCTCTGACATCGTCTGTTTGACATGACCATATGGGTTTGGCAAAATATTGTGAACGTTTCCCATGGGAACTGTGTACTGTACCTTCGTAGAATATTCGTCCACAACTAATTGGTCGATCTTTTCGGATGAGGCCACGGTACCATCTGTCTCGAAGTTCCTGTAGCAGAACCGCCAAGTTCGGCCGTTCATTACCATCAGTATATTGCACGGCTCCGCAGAAGAATTGGGGAATCGAGCGAGCAGGCTGTTCGCAGCCACTTTGAAGCCCTCTCCAAAGCCTCCCGCGTTGTTAACGACGTCGGGTTTCTTGCTGTGGAGAAGCAAGTGGCTGTTGTTGAGAGCACCCGTTTTCCATTCTTGCGCAAACGCGAGCAGGGTGCCCCTTCCGCCTCTCGTGGGGGTGATTTGCACCCGAGCGAATTCTGCAGTTGTGCCGTCTTCCATCGGGGCGTTCAGCGTGTAAGCCATCTCCTCCAGTAGCTTGCCGTCGGCGGAGTGCTCACCGATCGCACGACGCATAAACAGCGAGGTGTGTAAACCGTTGCCAGTCCTTTGCTTGGCGTGATCGTATAGATTCTGGAAAAACTCCCGAGTGCAGAAAGTAATTTCAGCATAGCCGTGCTTCGTGTTATAACTGCCGGTAAAAGAGCCGTGACGTCGGATGAGAGGGATTGAGCTGTAGGTGTCCGGCGCATTGATCGGCGAACGTGCGAATTGAAGGCTAACGGTGTGCCCGATCCCTGATATATTTGCACCGACAGTCACTGCTGTCCTTCAGCTCTTTCAGTGAAACAAATAGTCGCATCCGCCCGGACGCCCACGGTTTGATCTGGAACATCGGAGTTGAGGAATACAACCGGTACTTGTGTTGGAGGTGGCTTTTGCATTTATTGAGTCACTCTATAGCATCTCATTGTCAACGCCAAACTTGGGAGGGAGATGAGCGACAACATTTGTCAACAAGAACAATATGTAGAGGTTTGGTTCAAAGATCAATCACCTTGAGGTGATGCTGGTTTTGTGGGTGTGGGTGACCGTTCGAACATCACGGGCGATTTGGCGAGCTTGGGTAATGAGAGGGCAGTGCTTCCATTCCCCTACCCGAGCTCCCATTAGCTCTCCTGCAGCCTGCAACAAAACCAGACGGAGAGGAGAGACGTCGCCCCCGAAAAACCGAAGGCACACACGATGCGATATTGTTTCGAGCGTCTTTTGGAGTTCATTGTTCTCGTCCAGAAAACTACAACGACAAACATATGACGTGTACGCTAGCTCGAGTACTTTGCACAATAAAAATATCGTTCGGAACTATAGACGAAATCAACATCTAAAGATGCCGTGTAGTGTAGATGGTCATGCGGGTGCGATATGTTGCTAAAAATATGTCCTCTTAGAGAGATGAGGAGGACCTGACGTTGCCGTCGGTACAATACAATCTCGACACAACGCATTCGCGAAATATTCTGCACCGATATGTCTTACATAATAGAAGTAATAAAGTATCATTGTCGTGCAATGCTCACGATTGTCTCCGTGACCCTACCTGTGTTCCACCTACGATGTAAGCACAGCAGCAGCCATTCTGTCTCACCTGTGCGCCGTATTGCAGGTGTCCAGCGTCCGTAATTACTTCCCGGCCCGTTGATGTGATGGAAACGGTGTAATACGGCGTTGCGTCATCGAAGTGCACGTTTTGCACAACGCCAGCCACAGGGGTCCTGTTCGCTCGGGTATATAGCACCTGGTCACCTCGTTTAAACTTTGCATCCAGGTGGGGCGTGCACAATTGTCAGTTGTCATTCGAAACCGTTTTGAGACATGGACAACACGGCAGACATGCGCGCGATTTCCAATCTTAGTACTTGGAGCAAAGATATATGAGTTGAGCGCGGGGCGATTGCACGGTTTCATAAACACTTCATTTGCTTCCAAAACGCGGTACAGTATATGTATATAGGTGAGTTTAGTTTTATTAATTATTTTTCAGGTTTGGGGAGTACATGATGGGGGAACCGGAAATAAACTCTGTGTTCTTCAGTCTAAGTGTGCTTTCAACGGCGTCTTGTATTGAGGCGTGCTTGCCAGCCGCTCGTCGAACGCTCTCCACGCTCCATGGTGTGTCGGCCGTGTTGCTTGTACGTTCCGGACGTCGGCCGCACGTTGTACACTTCCCTTCTCCTCTGGGGCGTGTGTGTGCTTGTCCCGTGCACGAAAGGGAACCGCACTTCCAACATTAAATTTTGACAAGTTCTACCACTCGCAAAATTTTTCGTTCTACACCACTTCAACTCGGGGGCGTGTGTGTGCATTGTGCAAGCGTCGCGATGGGGTGTACGATGAACCGCGGACGATGCACGAGAGGGTCGGAAGCAGGAAGCCGACTTGTCGAAGAGGACGACCGTGTTCGGGAAGAACGAAGACAATCGTCGTGTCTTGAGGAGATAGAGGCGAAGCAGCAGAGTGTACTTTATTTGGGGAGAGGATGCTGCGAGACTGAATGGGAGGGGGTGGGCCGATCAGGGGAAGGGCAGCCCATCCGACGGCGCTGTTGTTCCATGATTTCGATAATGTCGGACCAGCCACCACCGCTACGTCACGGTACCAGCCCCGCCACGTCTAGACTACCTGCCCGAGGCCGGCAGATTGCGCGTTGCAGCTCGTGGGAAATATCACACTTCAACATTAAAAGTATGAGAAGTTCTGCCGCTCGGAAATTATTCGTTCAAAACAGTTGGAACTGCGGGGCGTGTGCGTTCATTGCACGAAGGACCACACTTACTTCAACTTTTAACATTTAGGCAGATGGGGTTTGTCCGGCTGCCGCGGCAGCGGCCGGAGGAGCGAATCCGGTGGGCGGTGTCCACCAGACAGGCCAGCCCGCCGCTCTGGCCGCGGAGGGAAATGGGGGCGACGACCAGCAGGGAGGAGATGGGGCGGCCGTTCAGCAGTTGCAGCAGCAGATGGCTGTGGTCCAGGGTCAGCTGGATATGTTGATCCCACACATTGAAGCGTTGAGTCAGCATGTGTACGCTGGTCAGGATGGTGGAGCAGCGGCGCAAGGCGCACCCCCTCTTGGGGGTGGATTTCCGGCGATGCCAGGGGTCGCCGGAGGGGTCTCCACTGGCCAGCGGGAGACTGAAAAGCGTGAGTCGAAGGATTGGGTAGCGAAAGAAGGGATTCGGCGGTGGTTTGCCGCGGCTTTCGTTGCACAATCCGTCAACATAGCGCGGCTGCAAGAAGAAGTGGGTGACGAGTTAGTCGTGAACGATGCTGTGTTTAAGATGCTCAACAACCTGTCAGGCATCAAGCTCAAGCCATTTGCTGCGCGCCATTACCAGATTGGTAGCGGCAAGGCGAAGGGTGTTCTCGTTAACGACAAGTTTGCTGCGCTGGTGAAAGGCCTTCAAGGGATGGTGGCTCTGGGGGTATCCGCGGTTGGGAAAGAGCGTGCGGAGTCTTTTTTGGCGCCATTCCGTGACATCTCACAGCGCTTGCACCACTACGTGTCTAAGTTCCGCTCTGCCTTTTCAGGGGAGTATGGGACGGCGTTGGAAGAAAACATCGTAAACGCTGTCGACCGCGATTTATCCCTAGTAGCTGCGGCCGCGGGCCGGGCGTCGGACAAGTTGAGGACTCGTTTTCCGCACTCGCCCCCAGTTGGCGATTTCGCCCAGATGGATATTCCGCGCATCG